ACTAAATCATGGATTGAGGGGAAAGAACATTTTAGGTTTATTTTCAGAACTGTTTTAAAATGTCAAAATGTCACGTTGTGTTGGATGGGACTCAGGACCCAGTGTTTAAGAGAGTTTCACATGAACAACGTGAAGAATAATCCACAGCTGGGTCCGAGGGTATCACATGCACAGGCGCTGTGTGTCAAAGGCCTGTGTCATCAGAGGCTCGGAAGAGATACATGCTCAGCGCCGTCCTCCCATGCCCGGGATGGATAGAGTAAGACCTGCCAGACTAGTGAGGGCACAAATGTGCACTTAGCTTCTCCACTTGCCCCAAGCTGGGAAGTCACCCCAACTTTTTTCCACTTTCCTCCCGCATCCAATTAGCTGCCAGGCCGAGAAGATTTCATCTCCTGTTGTCTGAGGCAGTGTCCTGTTTTATCTCCCGTCTCTGTGCCTGCATCTTCTTTCCCACGCTGCCGCTTTTGTTCGTCCTCCTTCCTTCACTCTGGGGTCCCTGCAGTGGTTTCCCCACAGGGCTGGGGCTCAGGGCCCCTCGTGCTGGAGGCTGAGTGATGGCTCTAACGCACCAACCTTGTGACTCACTCTCCCCTTCACGTCCTGGCCTCCACACAGATGCTTCCACCTTGAGTTAGCCTGTTCATAGCCTTCCTCTGTCTAGAATATTCTGCTGTCTTTCTGCTGGCTAATTCCAGCAAGTCTTTCAAAATCTGAGTCCAGCTCACTTCTCTGTCAGTGCGTGTCTTTCCGAGCTTCCCGTTCGGACCCCAAAGGCCTCCTCTGCTCCCAAATCAACCCATGCAGATGCCCCTGTATGGGCGCATCATGCTCTGTTGCCAGAGCCAGTACATGTCACCAACCAACAGGCTACTGGGCACAAGCAACCCGAGGGCAGGGGCCCTGCCCGGCTTGGTCTTACATCTTCAGTGCCTAAACCATTCTTGCATGTGGCACTTAGCACAGTTCTGACAATTTTATAAATATTAACTCATAACAATACATGGCTGTCAGAAGAATGTACCAGCATTCATTTAACAAATGTGTATTGAGAGTCTAGTGGGTGCCAGGTACAGTTTTAGGCACTGGGGATTCAGAAGAGAATGAGACAGACAAATTTGTGGTCTCAGTGACTTTGTAGCCTGTGAAGGCAAATGGATAATAAACAAATAAAGAGGTACATAATATAACGTGAGGCAGTGACAGGAGCTATAAAGAAAAATAAAGCTGGATAAAGGGAGGAAACACGATAGAGGTGTTATTTTAGATGGGATGTCCAGGACAGGCAGTCTGAGCAGAGGCGTGAGTAAAGTGAGCGGTGGGCCCTGTGGATTTGTGTGTGGGGTGGGGGCGAGGGGAGTGGTGTCAGGCAGAGGAAACAGCAAGTGCAAAGGCCCTGGGGCAAGAATAAGTTCAGCCTGTACAGTGCACAGCAAGGAGGCCAGGGTGCAGGAATGCAGTGCGTGGGGGTTGTATGCAGCAGGGCATGAGATACAGGAGCTGGGGGCCAGGTCAGGCAGAGCCTTTCAGGCATCCTGAGGCTTTTGGAGTTTATTCTAAGTGTGATGGGAAGTCAGTGGTTGGTGTCAAGCCTGGTGGGACATGACCTATCTTTTCAAGGATCGTTCTGGCTGCTGAGCGGAGAACATAGACTATGAGGGACATGATCAGAAGCGTAAGGACAATGGCCCAGATAGTGATGACACTGACTTGGATGCCCCCACCACAGCAGGGAGACGTGGTCAGACTTTGGATGCGTTTTGCAAGCAGAACAAGCAGGATGTGCTGATAGTTGGCTATGGAGCACATGAGGAAGAGAGGAGTCCTGGATGGCCCCAAGGCTCTTGGCCACCTGGCGTGCTGGTGATGCTCTTTGTCGATGAGGGAGGAATGGTTTACGAGTAAAGTTGGAGATGAAGGGTTCTGTTTTAAAACTGTAAGTCTGAGTTGCTGCCAGGACTTAGTTTTAGTTTTGTCTTCTATGAAATGGGGATAATGTTTATTTTACATACTTCTAATGAGAATCAAATGTGATCATTTTCTATTCATGTTATGTAGATGAAAGGTCTATTTGTATTCACATTTTAGCTAGGAGCAGAGTTCCTTTTAAAAGAACACATACAAAACTCCCTTACTAGCTAGGTATTGCTACACTTGGTCAATGGTCTCTCACACCAAGACATGATGTTGGTAATAGACTCATTGTCCGTATTTATTTATTTAACGCTTATGTACCAGACATTGTTCTCAGGACTTTGTAAATATTGACACATTTACCCCTTGTGGTATATACCCTTATTATCCCCCCATTTAACGGATGAAACTGTGCCACAGAGAAGTGAAGTAATTTGCTCAAGGTCCCACAGCTAGTAAACGGCAGAGCCAGGAGTGAACCATAGGGGCTCTGTCTCTGCTCCTGACCACCATGCCAAACTGCACAACCTCAGCTCCATGTGACATGTGACCAACCTCTTGTGTAGCATGAACGGGCCTCCTGTCTGACACCATTGCCTAAACCCTTGCCCCTGTGGGTGTTCCTGCCTAGGTTCTTACAAAACCTCTGCTCAAAAGAAGCCTGTCAGTATTGACAGGGTGACACCCCCCTTTGTCTCCCAGCCCTCCCCAGGACACTGCTAGCCACCACCCAAGCACTCAGTGTCCTTTGTGCCTTTCTTCTAATGCCCTGAGGTCAGCCTCCTCCCAGCATTGCCACATACAAGTTTTTTGGTATCCTGTTCTCTCCAAGTGCCCCGCCTCACTGCCAGTTGTTAAAAGTTGTTTTTTTTTTTTTTTTGAGACAGAGTCTCGTTTTGTTGCCGGGGCTAGAGTGAGTGCCATGGCATCAGCCTAGCTCACAGCAACCTCAAACTCTTGGGCTCAAGCGATCCTTCTGCCTCAGCCTCCCGAGTAGCTGGGACTACAGGCATGCGCCACCATGCCCGGCTAATTTTTTCTATATATATATTTTTTTAGTTGTCCAGATCATTTCTTTCTACTTTTTAGTAGAGACGGGGTCTCGCTCTTGCTCAGAGGTGGTCTCGAACTCCTGACCTTGAGCGATCCACCCGCCTCGGCCGCCCAGACTGCTAGGATTACAGGCGTGAGCCACCGCGCCCGGCCTGTTACAAGTTGTTTTAAACGCTTGCAAGTATCACATTTTCCATTCATGGGTTGAAAGAGACCATGTGTCACACTGAGCTGAGTGCTGGAGAGATAAACATGACCTGACCCCTGACCTCTCCAGAGACCTTGAGCTGGAGGACAGATTCCATGCTTTTCAACTTTGGGTCCCTTCTTCTGTCACCAATGGGGTGCAAAGCAGGCATTCAATGAATAGTCATTCGTTTTTTTCAGCAAATGTTTATTGAGCGCCTACTACATAGAAGGCAGGCAGTGTGGTAGGTGCCAAGGATATGGCAGGAAACCAGACAGATGCAGAGCCCCCATGGCTCCAAAGGCGCGAGGACAGCTTCGGTCTCCCTACTCCCCGCTGCCGCTCCTCCACGAGGACCTGGGAAGGGAGCATGGGGGTAGAGGTGGGGGCAGGCTGGAAGGAGGGAAGGTTTAGGGAAGCGGCGGCGACAGAAGCTGAAGCAAGAGGCGGGCGTGGCATCCGGCCAGGGAGACATATCCGTCTCAAAAGCCAGACACGAGACGCACGTGCCACAGTCGCTTTGGAGACTCCTGCCTGGCCACTGCCATCCACCAAACGATGTCTACGCGGTCGCGGGCCTCGGGCCTTGGGGCGGAGGAGCGGAGCCTGCCGGCCGGAGGACTGACACACGATTGGAGCAAGCTCGCTTAGAAGGAGACAGAACTCTGGGGCCCAGCACCCAGACTCTGGAGCCTGGATTCCAGTCCCAGGCCTGTTGCTTACTTATGTCACCTTGCACTAGTCTCTTAGCCTCCCTAGGTCTCTTTTACATCACCGGTAAAATGGGTTTTCAATAACCTGAGGGTAGGTGCGAGGACTAAAAGGGAGAATGCCTGGAAAGGTGTTAGTATGGTGCTCATCGTGTAAGGGACGCTCCCGGGGCGGAGGTTGTAATTGCCCGTTACTCACACCTCGCCAGGTCCCTTCTGGCCTCCCCTGGGCCCGGGCGCTCGGAGCTCTCTTCCCAAGGGACAAGCGACGAACCTATTAGGGCGCGCCCAGCCGTGATAGATTTATTTGCTTGCTGGGGGCGGGGTTTGGAACGAAGCCAGGAGAAGGAGAGGGTGAGGGCGAAGAAAGGGAAGAAGCGGAGGGGCAGGAGGCGAGCGAGGCGGGGCCGGGGAGGAGTCGCCGGGCTCCCGGGCCCCGGCGCAGCGCGCACCCGGAGCTGGCGGCGGCGGGGGCGGGGGCGGCGCGCGGCGGCCAATGGCGCGCGGCGCTGCGGCGAGGGCGGTGCAGGAAAACCGGCCGCTGACAGCCAAACTCGCCAACTCCGCCCTCGTCCCCGCGGGATCGCGGAGTCCGAGCCGGGCTTGGGGCCGAGGCCGCCCGAGCCGCGCTGCGAGCGAACATGGCAGCAGAATGAGGAGGCTGGCGCCGGGTGGTGGCCGCCGCTGCCGCGCTGCCGCTCGGGATCCGCGTCGGGCGCGCTCCGAGCCGCATCCTTAGCCGGCCTCCTGCTGGCCGCAGGATTATTGCATTCGGAGCAGAGGGCGGGGGAGAACGGGGTCTCCGCAGCCGAGAGGGTCCGTGCTCCGGCGGGGTGTAGAGGCTTGTGTGTGCGACTCGCCGGCTGCGGGAACGACGCGGGAGAGAGCCGGTCCCGGGCTGCGGCCGCGGGGATGAGCCGGCCATGGAGCGGCCTTGGCGGGGCACACGCAGCCGGCCGGCGCTGCGGGGGGAACGCAGCCTGAGCCGGGGCTCCGCGGGGCTTCGGGGCCTGGGGCGCCCCAGGGGGGTCCTTGCCGCCGCCTCGGGGAAGGACAGGAGCCCCGCGTGGCGGACACTGCAGCAGTCGCCGTACTGAGGCGGCCCAGGCTTGCTCCGCCTGCAGCTCGGTGCGCTCTCGGCACCCGGGCGCTTGGCCGGGTGCACGGCGGCTGGCGCACGGCGGCGAGGTAGGCTGCCGGGGCCGGGTGCAGGACGGGCCGGAGGGGTGTGTGTGCGCGTGTTGGACAGAAGATCCAGGCAGAAGCAGAGCCAGGCGGACCTGAGCAGCCATGCTTCCCGGGGTGGGCGTGTTCGGCACCAGCCTCACGGCCCGTGTCATCATCCCGCTGCTGAAAGACGAGGGCTTCGCGGTGAAGGCGCTGTGGGGCCGCACGCAGGAAGAAGCGGAGGAGCTGGCCAAGGAGATGAGCGTCCCCTTCTACACGAGCCGCATCGACGAGGTGCTTCTGCATCAGGACGTGGACTTGGTGTGCATCAACCTGCCGCCGCCCCTCACCAGGCAGATCGCTGTCAAAACCCTGGGTGAGCAGCCCCTTCCTCCCCCCGCACTCCCCAGCCTTCCCTCCATTCCTTCCCTCCATTCCTTCCCCGCTGCCTTTCCCTCTCCACAGCCCAGAGGCTTACACTGCTTTTCCCCTGCCCCAGGGGTCTGAGATCCTAGATCCCACTCTGAGCTCCCTCCTTCTCGTCCCTGGCCTTCCCCATCTCCGCGCTTCCCTCCTCCCTCCTCGCACCACCTGGACGCGCTTCCCCACGTGTGGCTTGGAGGAGGCGTGCGTGCCAGGGATGGGAACCAGGTGGATCAGATCCCCCAAACAGGGGATGGGTTTCTCCACGGGGAGAGGAAACTTAGCCCCCAGCTGTGTGTGTAGCGCCCAAGTATGTGCGTGTGTGCGCGCCTGGTAGAGGCGAGTGCGCGTCCAGAAACGCCAGAATAAAGGGCCGCACACGTGTGTCGGGTTTTCCTGGGGGCAATAGAGTTACCTGCTGCTCAGCAGCTGTGGCGCCCTGCGAGGGTCGTTTGTTTCTTTCTGCTGCGAGTTAGTTTAGTGTGAGATTGGAGATGTGACAATCGACTGGAGCATTTCGTCTGCCCTGGAGGCAAGGATGGCGGGAGTGTTTGGAAGGGGGGGGGACTTACTAGAACGTTTTCAGAGGCGTCATAGGGTAGTAAAGACTGATTTAGTAAAACCGGAGGGATTTTAACTTTTGAGTGTAGCCTCCCAGGAAAGGTCTTCACCACTTTGGAGTAGTAGATCTTAAATGTTTAGGGGATGGGTGCTTTGTGTCAGAACAGGGCCTCCTTCATTCCCTTCAGGAATAGTTTCTGAAGGCATGATGTTGACAAGCGGGCTGCGGATGAGTTCACCCCCCTCACCATCCAGTGCCCCCACCCGACGCCCAGGCAGTCTGAACAATCTTTGAAGACAGAGTATCAGCGTCTCTGCCGTGCTCAGGAGAAAGACAAGTGCATGTTTTCTCCATCAGCAGTTCTCACACATGCCTAAAACAATCCCAGGAAGATTGCTCACTCCTTACTATTCCAAGAAAATTAATAGCGCGCCCTTGAAAGCTGAAGTTTCTATTGGTGAGGAAAGAGACAAAGTTTATAACAAGGTGCCACATTAGAACAGTTACTAGGGAAGAATTAGGAACAGGGACAGCATCCAGAAAACAACTGTAATTTATGTAGTCTTGGAAAGAACATTTTACTTTTAAAATATAGGTGTGGATTCGGGGTAGACGAAATGTCCGTATATTTTAATTCTCCTTCAAAGACCAGTGAACAGAATGTAGAATACTTTCTCCATAGCAAACCATTTTTATCAAGGCTATTGGGCTATTGACTCAGATGGGACAGCTGATAGAATTCCTAAGGAGGCTACCCAAGGTTGTCAGCTTTAATGTTAATTTTATTGAGCTTCTGGCCTTTGTAGGCTGGTTTATTTGGCCTTGAATTGAATGCTGTTAAGTCTGGCCAATATTTCTTTTCTGTCTGATGAAACATATATATATATATAAAAAAAGAAATAATAAAAAAAAAATTTGGCTGTGAATACAGGATAGGTGGTAGCTGGAGGGGATGAGGGTGGGGGTTTTTTTGGCTTTGTTTTGTGTTTTAAGATGGTTTAATTTGCCTTAAGAGTCTAAGTTGAGAGTTCCCAGCTCTAAGGGAAGTTGCTTATCTGAGGCCTGCAAAGGCATGGTAAGATCAAGGCACTATGTTCTGGGGTTGGGGGAGAGAGCGGGGACGCTGGAGAAAACGGGGGCAAAATTATGAAGAGAATATTCTGCCAAGGTAAGTTTTGAACTTTAATAATATCACCACCAGGATTTGAGTACTTTTTACCAGGCACTGGATTAGGTGCTAGACATAATTCTTTTACAGCAACCCAGCAAAACAGGTATTATCTCTATTTTATTGCTAACAACTTAGGTTGAGAGAAATCATTTGCCATAAACCAGTTTTTAGTGAGTAGGCTCAAAATATTTGAGACATAATCAACTTCGTGAAATGTGTGTGAGGGCAAACAACTTTGGTCCTTTAAGCTAGGGTGGAAGTGTTACTTGGCTTCACTGGGAGGCTCTGGGCAGCCTTAAAGATACTCAAGGGTGGAGTGTAGGGGTGTTTGGTGAAGAAGTTAGGAGATGCAGAAAGAATTGGAGATGGCCAAAGCCAAAGGCAGCCTGGTTTGACTAGGAAATAAAATTTGGCCATGCCTTTGGTAAACCAGGGGGAGGCCTGCTATGGACTAAAGGATCTATGGGACCAGGCCCAGGACTGGCTGTGCAAAGCATAGAGAAGGCACATCACCATGCTTAGGAGTACAGGAAGAACAAACGCAGCGTGTGACCACACACTTGGGGAGTGGAGTCTGGTACCTACTGCTACAAATGGGGAACACCCTCAGGAGATTAGTCAATGCTCCTGGAAGACAAGGGGGCTAC